CCTGAACCCAGGAGGCGGAGGTTGCGGTGAGCCGAGATCGCGCCATTGCACTCCAGCCTGGGTAACAAGAGCGAAACTCCATCCCAAAAAAAAAAAAAAATACAAAATTAGTTGGGTGTGGTGGCACATGCCTATAATCCCAACTACTTGGGAGGCAGAGGCAGAAGAATGGCTTGAACCCAGGAGGTGGAGGTTGCAGTGGCCTGAGAGTGCACCACTGCATTCCAGCCTGGGCGACAAGAGCAAAACTCCATCTCAAAAAAAAAAAGAAAAAAAGAAAAAAAAAATTCCAGAAATGAACTCTTTTTTTTTGAGGCAGAGTTTTGCTCTTGTCGCCCAGGCTGGAGTGCAATGTCATCATCTTGGCTCACTGAAACCTCTGCCTCCTGAGTTCAAGTGATTCTCCTGCCTCAGCCTCCCAAGTACCTGGGATTACAAGCGTGTGCCACAATGCCCAGCTAATTTTTGTATTTTTAGTAGAGATGGGGTTTCACCACATTGGCCAGGCTGGTCTTGAATGCCTGACCTCAGGTGATCCGCCTGCCTTGGCCTCCCAAAGTGCTAGGATTACAGGCATAAGCCACCATGTTCGGCCTGAACTCATGTTTTACATTGTATGCTGTCCTGAATATTGTCATAAATTGTTCCATTTTATTATTTGTTGTTGCCAACTCTTACTGTGCCTAATTTATAAATTTTTTTTTTTTTTTTTTTGAGACAGAGTCTCGCTCTTGTTACCCAGGCTGGAGTGCAATGGCGCGATCTCGGCTCACCGCAACCTCCGCCTCCTGGGTTCAGGCAATTCTCCTGCCTCAGCCTCCTGAGTAGCTGGGATTACAGGCATGCACCACCATGCGCAGCTGATTTTTTGTAGTTTTAGTAGAGACGGGGTTTCACCATGTTGACCAGGATGGTCTTGATCTCTTGACCTCGTGATCCACCCGCCTCGGCCTCCCAAAGTGCTGGGATTACAGGCTTGAGCCACCGCGCCCGGCCCTATAATTAAATTTTATCAAAGGTATATAGGTCCGAGATGTACCCCTGTGGATAGGGAAGGACTACTGTAGGCAAAGGAGCTTGTGCACATCACTCTCTTTCCTGATAAACAGGAAAAAGAATTCTCATGAGAGAGAGAGATGGCCAGCAGACATATGGGGATTGTGCTGACTGACCCTAGGATAAGCAGATGCCCTTGCCTGCTCTTCCAGAGCTGACAGCAGTGCAGCGTGGTGGTGTGGAAAAGTTTCCTTGTCCACGTGGTTGCAGGGCATGCCATGGGGCTGTGGCTCGTTTCTTCAGTGCCCCGCTGCTCAAACCTCTAGGGGAGCATACAGACGGGCAGGCTGTGGGGCTCCAACCCCATGGCAGGATCTACGACTGAATGTTGACAGCTGAAGCCCCAGTGGCCACGTGTTATAGGTGCTCTTTTAGTTTGCCATCTATAGGAGGCTTGTGTTAACCACCAGACCCTCTATATCCTGGGTTCTTGCCCTCTGGTGTACTGGAAGAATCGGATCACGTGGGCTTGGAGAATGAGTGGAAAGTTTTATCAAGTGGAAGTAGCTCTCAGCCGATGGGGGAGCCAGAAGGGAGATGGGGTCTTCTCCTGGAGTTGGGCCGCCAAGCGGCCCAAGCTCTCCTCCAACTGCCCCAGCCAAACTTGGCCTTGTCCAGTCAGTCGATGGCCTGCCAGTGTGCTGGTATCTGTTGGTGTGCTCTTCCACCTGCATGCTCCCTTTGAGGTCCAGCTGCTTGTGTCTTCTTCCACCAATCTGCTCATCTCCATGTCCAGCTGCCTCTGCCCCTGCCTTGTCCCTGTCTCTTGGGTTTTTTTTTTTTTTTCTGAGATGGAGTCTGGCTCTGTTGCCCAGGTTGGAGTGCAATGGGGTGATTTCGGCTCACGGCAACCTCCACCTCCTGGATTCATGCAATTCTCCTGCCTCAGTCTCCTGAGTAACTGGGATGACAGGCACATACCACATTTTTGTATTTTAGTAGAGACAGGGTTTCACCACGTTGGCCAGGCTGGTCTCGAACTCCTGACCTCATGATCCACCCACCTCGGCCTCCCAAAGTGCTGGGATTATAGGTGTGAGCCACCACGCCTGGCCTGGGTCTCGGGTTTTTATAGGCACAGGATGGGGGCATGGCAGACCAGGGTGGCCTTGGGAAATGCAACATTTGGGCAGGAAGGCAAGAGTGCCTGTCCTCACCTAGGCCCATGGGAGTGGAGTCCTAGCCAGGGACCATGCCCTCCTCTACCCAGCACTTCCCTTCCCCTGTTCCCTAAGGGGCCACACTCTTCACTTCCCAGCACTCCCATATCAGTGGCTGGATAAGGGCTCAGTGGCTGAGCCAGGTGCCCAGCTCCTCCTTGTGTGTGCTTACTGTGCAGCCATGAGCAGGTGTGGAAAATCCCTGTTCCCTGTGCTAACACCTATAAATGGTGATCATCAGCGATGACCAGCACCTCTAGTTGTAGGCTACATGGCAACAAGTGTCGTAAGTCAAAGACTTGCAGTGAGGCCAGCACACAGCTGAACACCCACAGCATCTTGATTTGGTGGGGACAGGAGCTACTCAGGTGCTGGTGCCAGTAGCAGAGAATGAGTAACAGCCACAACAGGCCTGAGTGGCCAAACACCCGCTTTTCCACATCTATCTACAGGTGCTCTCACCAGTACACAGACATGTATGCAATGGGGATGTCGGAAAAAACCACGAATGCTAATCAGGGTTCTGGTTAACAAAAAGCAGACAAATGTGAGAAGGTGGCAGGCAGGATTGATAGGGCTTTCTCTCCCTATACAGCACACATTTCTGTGTGAATGAAAGAGCTGCTTCCTCTTCATTCCACGCAACCACATTTAGTAAACACCCACCAGTCACATGCCAGGCCCAGAGTTCCTGACTTGAAAACCCTCCGGCCACAAAAAGTACTATGGATGCCACACCTATGCACACAACAGAGGTGCTGGGTCAGAAAGGGATAAGTCGGGCGTGTACAAGGTTGTAAAGGCCACAGAATCCATAGCCCAGAAGCGGTGGTGAGCCAGCCTGCATGGCCGGGTATGTGAAGGGAGATTGGGAGGTCACAGAATGCCCCACCCATGCGTCGGGTCCAAGGAACCTCCTCTCCTAGCACAGCAGCCACAGAATCAACTTCCAAAGTTGCCAACAAGGCCTTGGGCTGATGACCCAGGGAAATGTAATCCCACAGCCCACTGCTCACAATTCACTGAGAACATGGTTCCTCAACATAGGCCATGCGAAGCTGTGTCACTGGTGCTCGTGCAAACCCCAAAACCAGGTAGCCCCTCCAGCTCAGTGAAGAAAGCACATTTCTCATGATGTGCAGCAGTCCATGTTCTCCGAGCACTGGCTAGGAGCTGCCAAGAGCCATGGGAGCCCTTCTACTACAAAGCTCCTACTACAAAGAGGCCAATCTGTGTGGACTGGCACACACAGAGCATGTCTCTACCCAAATAACCCAGCTCCATGAAAGGGGGCTATGAGGCCTCAGGCTGCCAACCACAGAGAGCAGCAACCAGGCTTCTCTCCCGGACCTCTGTGGACCCAGGAAAAGAAAACTAAGCACAGGCACTTGTTTCCTGTCACAGGGAACAGCCATGAGCTCAGGCAAGCACACATCGCACAGCCTCCACCTCTGACCCCCTAATGTCCCTTAGAAGTCAGCAATCAACCCCAGCTTGTGCGAAATGGCCAGATGCAGGTCTCCACAAGCCACAGCAGCCTGCACATCAGTTTCAAGTTAACAAAGACAACTCAACCTCAGGTCATTCCACTCTGACACCAAAGAGAGACCAGAGACACCTGCTCCCAGGAGCCTTGAGAGCCTGAGACTGAGCAGTGAAGATCCTGCTGACAGCAGCACCCAGGGTGCCCAGACCGTCCATGCAGCCACATCACAAACATGTACCACCAATGAAACAACGATTCCCACACTTATCTCCAGCCCTCTACTCCCCAGGACCGGGTGTCCTTGGGGCATCTCCATCCACGGTCATCGAACTGAGACCCAACAGCTCTAAACTCAACTCAGTACCCTCACCTGACTTCTCACTGCCCCCACCCTGCCTGCCTCTTCCAGCATCGTGTGCATTCACCACCAACCTCTTCCAAAGTGGTCTCTGCCTCCAAGGCTGTCCCCAACCCAACAGCTGCTCCGCCCACATCCCTAGGTTCGGCCACACCCCATACCCCTTTCTGCTAACCTCACTGCACTTGAGTTTGTGTGTTTGTCCCATCCCCACCTGGGCCGGCAAAGGAGCCCCTCCCCAGAGCGTGTAGGACCGAGCCACCAGGGCACAGGGCTCTCCTGACCCTGACGCTGCAGGGAAATCCGACCCCAAATCGGCCGGCAGGCTCCGGCCCTGCAGCCCCTAGGTCCCGTCTTGGCTCCCCGCGGCCCTGCCAGCTCCGTGCCCTGCACGCGATGACCAGTCATCCTCGTGACTAGGGACAAATCACCTTCCTGCTCGGCATCGTCAGCGAATACGGAAGGCAGACGGAGGCCTCGGGGCACGCCGGCTTGGCAGGCTCCGGGCTTATGCTTGGCTTCCCAGAGAAAGGACCCCCCGGCGGCCCCTCTGGGGGAGAAAAGGGCTGGGGACCACCGCGCTCCGGGGGGGGGAAGCACCGGGGACCACCGCGCTCCCGGGGAGGGGCGGGCACCGAGGAGCACCGCGCTCCCCAGGACGGCGGGCAAGCTGCCGAGACCTCTCGGCGGCGCGGAGGAGGAGGAGCACAGCGCAGAGTTCCGGCCTCCTTCCGGGCGTTGCGCGGCGCACACCTGGACCAGGGACCCCGCAGCACCCAGGACCCTCCCGGCGCTCGCCCGGTGACCTTGGGGAGGCGCCTCCGGACTCAGCTTCCTCCGCGGCCTGGCCAAGGGAGCGGCCCCCAGGCCCTCTAGCCCAGGCTTCCCCAAGGGGCGCTTCCCCGGCGCCGCCGAAGGCTCATCCTCGCCCGCCGTTTACCTGAGGAGCCGCAGCCAGCGCGACCCAGGCGCCGCCTTCCCGCCCAGCAGCTGCCCGGAGTGGGCGGAGCCGCGCGCGCCGAGCCCGCCCCCGCTGCCTTCAGACCAACCGCAACCCGGAGCGCGGCAGTAGGGCCCCGCCCCCAAAAGATCTCTGCACTTATTGGTCGGAGGCACGTCTCTCATGCTCGCTCCACCCCTCCCGCCTCCATTTACAAAGCCGGAATGTGCAGACTCCGCCTCACGCTCGGCCCCGCCCCGCGGCCGCTCCTTGGTCACCGCCTCGGACTGTTGGGCGCCCGCGCGGCCGCCACTGCGCGGGCGCGGCCTTCAGGCTCGTGATAACGGCCGCAGTCCCGGGGCGCAGCCGTCCCCGTGTCCCCATCGGACGCACAAGCTGCGGCGACCTCTGCTCCCCGACGCCGGGACGCGGGCTCCGCGCGCGTTGCGGCCGCTCGCAAAGCACACGCCGGCCCTCCGTCTGCCCGGAAGCGCCCGCGGGAAGCGGCGGCACGTGGGGGCGGGCGGGACTGGCGCGGCCCTGCGTTCGCGGGGAAGGAGGCGGCCCGCGGGGTCCCGGGGCCTCGGGACGCGAAAAGAGCGATGTGAGGAAGGAAAGCGCTCCCCGAGGAGCGGCCTGCGCGCGCGTCCAGGCCGGGCCTCGGCGGAGGCGGCGGAGCCCCGCGGGCAGGACGTCCTCTCCAGGCCGGGGGATGGGGCTCCGCTGTGGGGCGGCACCCAGGGGAGCGCAGGACCCTTCGCGGGTGCGGGCGAGGCCCCTGCAGCGGCTTCCCACGCACAGGCCTCGGCGCCTGTGGCCCTGCCTCCCCCCGGCCTGGGAGCCGCCCCCGCTCCGCGCACGCCGGGCGCCGAGCGCAGCGCAGCCCGGCTCTCCCTCCGGCCACGGACGGACGCCCGCCCCTCCGGCAGGGGGCACGCCTGAGCCTGTCCTCTGCTCCCCAGGGCTCCAGCACAGGAGGGCTGCCCAGTGAAGCCCCGGGTTTGAACTCAGGTGCAGGCAACGAGGCGGATAATCGGGACTGCAGAGGGACGGTGGACAGAGCCAATGGCCGTTCTGATCCTGCAGTCACCACTTGGCTTGACCCTCGCGGGCTTCCAGCTGGGTCCTGGCACTGGTGGTGGCCAGCAGGGAGAGGAGGTGCGCCCCCGGGGCGCAGGCTCCCAGGCTTCGCAGCAGAGCCCAGAGGCTCAGCCACCCTGGGCCGGGACCACCTGGCTCCAGCTCTAGAGTGGCTGCTTCTTGCAGCCCCCACGTTCGACGAACTGCACCCTGCCCGCGTGCCTCTCCAGGCCGTCTTATTCTTGAACCATCAATCCCACCTGCTTAAATTGCCTGGAGCAGTTTGTCTTTTTTTCTAACCCTTAGGTCAATCACAAACTGGTTTGTTTTTTCTGAGGACTCACTGTCACCCAGTCTGGAGTGCAGTGCGACAAGGGCTCACTGCAAACTCAGCCTCACCGGGCACACGTGATCCTCCTACCTCAGCCTCTGGAGTACCTGGGACCACAGGCACACCACCCCACCTGGCTGATTTTTAATTTTTTGGAAGAGACAGGGTCTCACTATGTTGCTCGAACTGGGTTTTATTGTTGAAACGAGGCCTCTCACTGTCGCGCAGGCTGGAGTGCAGTGGCATGATCATAACTCACAGCACCCTTAAATTCCTGCACTCAAGTGATCCTCTTGCCTCAGCCTCCCAAATAGCTGGAACTGCAGGTAGGCACCACTATGTCTGGCTAATTTTTAAATTTTGTTGCAGAGAAAAGGTCTCACTGTGTTGCTCAGGCTGGTCTGAAACTCCTGGGCTCAAGAGATCCTCTTGCCTTGGCCACCCCAAGTGCTGGGGTTACAGGCATGAGCCGCTGCACCCAGACCTTGTCCTTATTTTCTGTATCCCAGGCAATTTGCCAAACAAGGGCCGTGTGTGAGCAAAGGAATATCAAACACCTGCCTTGTTCTCAAGAAGCTCATGTTCTAAAAGGAATGAGAAACTGTGTCTCCAGTTTACGCCAGCCCGTTCCAGGGCCTTTGCTGCAGCGAACATGCCACATACACCCACAGATCTTGGTGGAGGAGACTCCAACTCCCCAGACTCACTGGCCTGTACCAAGCACTGGGCCCTTGCAGACATTCCCAGGATGGCTGCCCAGCAGGCAGCCCTGCCCTCCAGGCCCACAGCCACTGTGCTTCCAGCCCACAGCAGAGATCACACATTTGGGTCCAGGCTCCACCACCACCATGGGGCCTCAGTTTCACCATCTGTAAAGCAAGTATTGGTTCTTAGGACTTGAGATCCTAGATGTGCACTGCCCCCACAGGCCGGGCATTTGGGTGTGTTCCGTGACTGGGGTCAGGACTGCTACAGGTGGTAGTTGTAGCTGGTACAACTGCCCAGAATGACACCTGGCACTCAGACGTTAGCAGTAATAGTGCCTACAGGGCACTCTGGGTGCCTGAAGGAAGGGACAAGGTTGGCTTCTGTCTCTTGCAGCTGTAGGATCAGAGATGGGCTCAAGGGTGGGGCCCTTACTTGCCCTGGGATGTGCGGTCAAGTGTTCAGAGGGCTCTAGGTGGGAGGCTTCCTGCACCCTGCTTGCCTGGGCAGGAGGTGCTGCAGGCTCCAGTGGAGAAGGCCAGGAGACAGGGCTCCTGCCTGCCTTCCTCTGGCTCAGCCCACCTTAGGGCCAGCTGAGTGTGGCCACAGCATCCTCTCAAAGGGGGAGGGGGTGCCCCTGAAACGGTGGTTGGCACATATGTGTCCTTTTTCCTTTCCTTATGCCCCAGAAATCCCCACCCTCATTTATTTAACGGCTCTCTGTGGCCATCCACGTCCAGAGGGGTCCACAGAGTCCTCATCCTGGCTCTAGCCCTTGAAATGGGTTTTCACCCCCCAGAGAGTGGGCCCCATGTGGGCAGGACTGGTCCCACAAGATGTTCTCAGTGGGCAGGTCCCCAAAACAAGAACACATACCCTTTCAGGACACAGTGGAGGTACAGCTCTAGAATTCTCCATTCTAGAACCTGCCTGTCCTCTCCCAGAGCTGGCCCTCCCCCTGCCCAGTCCAAGCTGTGCCAGCCCTGCCCTGAGCTCACAGCCTCATCACTCCCTGCCTCTGTCCCAGTCCCAGCAAGCCTTCAGTAACTTGGCTGCTGCCTCAAGAGAGATGCAGTTCCCACCCAGCCCCCACCACCCTGGCCCCTGCCCTCTGACACAAGTCAGGCCTCAGCTGTACCAACCAAGACTGCTGAAGCTGGACCACCATGGTACACTGCCCTCCATGAAGGGTAACAGCAGGCGGAAGCTGGATCAGATAACCTTTGTAGAGCAGGTGCGTGAGTGCAGGGACAATGGCTACCTGCTCTCCTTCAAGAAGATCGTTTCTGCCGGGCGCGGTGGCTCAAGCCTGTAATCCCAGCACTTTGGGAGGCCGAGGCGGGTGGATCACGAGGTCAAGAGATCGAGACCATCCTGGTCAACATGGTGAAACCCCGTCTCTACTAAAAATGCAAAAAATTAGCTGGGCATGGTGGCACGTGCCTGTAATCCCAGCTACTCAGGAGGCTGAGGCAGGAGAATTGCCTGAACCCAGGAGGTGGAGGTTGCGGTGAGCCAAGATCGCGCCATTGCACTCCAGCCTGGGTAACAAGAGCGAAACTCCGTCTCAAAAAAAAAAAAAAAAGAAGATCGTTTCTGGGGCCTTCTCCAAGGTGTACTTGGCCTGTACCACCCATGAGCATTTGCAGCACAACCCCAAGCTGTTCTCCGTGCAGGCAGGTGCCACACCATGGTGAGGCAGGCTTACCTCCTTCCTCAAGGGGCTCCCGTGCCTCCCAGCCGGGCCCTGGCAGGCCCCTCTGTGTCTCAGACCCTCTCAGGCACCATCCAGCAGCTCCAGCTTCCTCCATCTGAAACGTTCCCCCGTCCCATTTCCTCCCCAGAGGCCTTCCCAGGGCTCCTGTAGGCTGACCATCTCGTTCCCAAACCTCTTAAATACAGAGTACTCTGCACAGAAGGGAGCTGGGAGGTCATCGCTGCTCTCCAAGGGCACTACTCACCCAGCCTCACCCCTGAGGAGTTCAGAAAAGTGTAGAAAGGACAGGGGACTGCCCTGCCACAGCCAGCCCCTCAGGGGCCGAGTCTCACACAGCAGACTCCCTCCACCCCACAGGTGGCTATCAAGATCATCACCACAGCCAAGGCCCTGGTGGAGTTCTCCCACAAGTTTCTGCCCTGTGAGATCTTGTCACTCAACACTACCTATAAGCACCTGAACGTGGTGGGCAGAGGTCTAGACACAGCCTGTCCCACCCTGTGGAGGGGCTAGCTCTCCCCGACCTGCTGCCTGCCCCAGGCCTGTGGCCCCCTCCCACCTTGGACCTCCCTTTGGCCCCAGGGCTGGAGCCCAACCCCACCCTGGAACCCAGGTCTGGTGCCAGTTGACAGATTCCAGCACACCCTTGGCCCTGCCTCGAGGTGATGGCAGGTGCGTGGGCTGCAGGTGCAGCTGTACAAGACCTACCAGAACAACCAGTGTTCCTGCCTGCTGCTGGAGTTGGCAGCCCGGGGCGACCTGCTGGAGCACATCAACACTGCCTTGGACCACCGCTGCCACCCAGGGCTGGAGAAGGAGGAGGCCCATGGGCTGTTCTGGCAGCTGGTCAGTGCTGTGGCGCACTGCCACAGCATGGGTATCACGCACCAGTGAGGGCTGCACCTGGGCCAATCGCCTGCCCACATGCACAGAGAGGCCTGCTTGAGCCCAAGCCAGCCCCACTTCCTGCCTCCCCTCTCCCATGCAGGGACCTGAAGTGCTGGATGACTGTGGCCTTCTCAAGCTGACCAGTGAGTCCACAGCCCCCACACTGACCCCCAGCCTGGGAATGAATGCCTCCACCTGCAGGGGCCCACCCCTCCACGCTTGTCCCAGCCAGGTCCTTGTCTTCAGCCCTCCCAGAAGGCCTTTAGGCCATCCTTGCACAAGGGCCTAAGGCCCCTGGCCTAACCCCCACGTGTGCCGCCAGCCCAGGCCCACCTTGTCCAAACCCACACTCTTGCTGTCGGCCCACACACTGCACACAACCCCACGAGCCTCCACAGCCATTCCTTCAGACTGGCATCCTGAAGTCCCTCTCCCTGCACTCCTGCCCCTCATGTGCAGCGCCACCCTCCCCACTTACCCTGTAGATTTTGGCCTTGCTAATTGCATGGGGCCCAGGAACTCATTGCTTAGAACTTTCTGCGCCTCTGCAGCCCCCACAGCCCCAGGGATCCTCATGAGCAAGAAATATAACAGGGAGCCGGCCGACCTGTGGAGCCTGAGTGCCTCCCAGGGAGCCCTGACCCCAGGCAATGGGCCGACCTGTGGAGCCCCCAGGACACCCCAACCCTGTAGCCAAGGCTCACGGGAGGGCTGGGAAGGGGCTACACCCTGAGGAGCTCATGCCCCAAGATGTCATTCTCTACGCCATGGTGAGCAAGAAGCTGCCCTTCAAGGAGTGCCGGCCCCACTGCATGCTGCACCTCATGTACCAGGTCTGTCCCCAGGTGAGCCCCATTCTATGTGCCTTCCACACCTAGCTCAGGCCTGAAGAGTGGCAGTAAGAGAGACCTGGACTCCAAGCAGGGTAGTCCTCCCCGCTCAGGCTGGGGTGTTTGGTCCAAGTGCTGCAGTGACAGAGAAGCTGGGCTTGTGGAGGACCTGACTCAACGCAATTCAGGAAAGGCAGTGACTGCAAACCTGAGCTCTGCACCAGCCCAGGGCACACCACCTTGCCCCTCTATGCCTCAGTCATTGGCAACAGGACTGATGCCTCTAAGCTGCTGGAACTGTTGGCAGTGACATGCATGGGATGCTGAAGGGAAGTGGCCACAGGCGGCAGCCGTGAGCCCCTGCCCACAGAGTGCCAGGACCTGATTTGGGGGCTGCTGCAACTGCACCCACACAAACACCTGGGCCTGCAGCAGGTGGCTGCACACTGCTGGATGCTGCATGTGGCGAACATGCTCTTCCTCAGTGCTGTGCCAGGTGTGGTGGGGGCCTGTGGGTGAGCAGCTGGGGAGCAGGTGGTCCCTTGGCACTCCACCTGACCCCACTGTGGCCCCTTGCAGAGAAGCTGGTGCAGTCCCAACTCCCAGCATCCTTGGATGACCTGGAGTCTGGCAAAGACTTAGAGTGTAAACAGTCTTGTAGCTGCACTGCCTCCAGCGGCAGGGGCTTCCAAGGAGAACGTGGGCCCTGAGCTCAGGCTGCCAGAGGTATGCCCCAGAAAAGGGGTAAGTTCTGCTCAGCTGGGGCTCTAGAGCACTGCAGCAGCCAGCCTGGGAGTCAGCATCTCCAGGCAGCCACCGCCGCCATGCCCCAAGCCTGCATTTATTCTGTGAAGATGATGCAGATGTTTGAGTGCTGATAGGGCAAGTGGCCTCTAGTGGCAGGAGGGGGCTCTGGCCAGGGGAAGACACCAGTCCACACATACCTGCATGAGTGGCAGAGCTTTAATAGGGGCAGGTTAGAGGAGATCCTGGAGGAGGGAGATGCCCAGCACCTGATGAAGCACCTGGCTACAGCAGGAGACCACAGGTAGAGCAGGCCTCCAGTTTTAGGGTGTGGAATGGGACACTGTGAACTCCCAAGACAAGCTAAGCTCCTTCACCAGGGCTCAAGGGGCCTGGATGGGCCCATCAGTGAGAAGGGGCCAGCACTCAGGAGCCCAATGCAAGAGGCGGCAGTGAGGTCAGATGAGCTCAGGAAGGAAAAGTGTGGTAAGAGCCACCATGACAGCCCATGGGGCTTAGCAGCCACACAACTAGCAGGTGGGGGGGAATGCACACGGGTCCAGGAGAGAAGCAGGTAAGGCCCCTGGGCCCAGCATGGGCTCTACCACAGGGGCAGAGGGGAGTGGGGGGAGGCCTGGGCAGGGGCCAGGCTGCAGGCACATCTGGAGGCTCCTGGCAGAGGCAGGAAGGCTAAGGATAGTGACCCTGGCTCAAAGAAGCTGACCAGGGAAATGGCCTAGCTTGAGAGGCCATCCAATCTAAGACTGGGAAGCAGGGAAACTTAAGGAGCTGACAAGGGTTGAGGACAGGGTCCTGCAGCATAGGTCAAACAGGGAGGCACAGTCCCAGGAAGACCCCAGGATCTAGGTATGGCTGGGTCAGCCCTTTGAGACCAGGTCTCAGGGAGTGGGGTGCTGAGAGCCACAGGGAGGGGGCTGACAAAACACCACTTGTACTTATGCGCCCACGTCTCCCCAGACCCTGCAGTGCCTCGGGACTGGGAAACTCCAGCTGGCTCCTTGGGGCTTGCAGTGGTTTTCTGTCCAGTCCCCACACCATGCCCAGGAAGTCTTCTCATGGCTCCATGGCCATCCACCTGCCACCTCCACCTTTTGCACAGGCAGCTGAGTCACGGTACCTGGCTCACAGTGCTGTTCTAAGCAACTCTCATTCTTGCTGGTAGCAACACTGCAAAGGGCTGGGAAGCGCCTCCAATCCCTACTGCAGCTTAAGTGTAGCTCTGCTTCTCAGCAGGGCAGTCTCTGAGCAGGGGGACCCAAGGGGCCTGTAGGCAGCTGCAGGAAGGCCTGGTCTGAGAAAGCCTGGCAAAGGGGGCCCTGGAGCTGGTGTCTGGCTGCAGGGGCCTCAGGTGGGTGTGGCCCTCTCCAGCCATGGCTCAGGAGCCAGCTCCCGCTCCAATTGCTCCCGTTCCAGCTGTTCCTGCTCCTGGTGATCCAGCTGCTGCAGCTGCTGTTCCACATCCTCAGGCACCTGGACTTCCAGCAGGTTTTCCATGCCACATTCAGGCTCATCTCCAATAAGCACCTGCTAGATGGGAGGCAGGTGAGCAGCTGGCCAGCTATAAACACCCCTTCCTCAGAATCTCCGACCGTGCACCAACCTGGATTAGCTTCTCACAAGCCGTCCGCACGTCGGACTCGGGCTCCCAGCTGTGCAGCTCTCGAAGGACCAGGTAGGCTCCCTGATCCCGCACCTGCCGCCGACCTGGTGCTGTGGCTGTCAGCTGAGGAGGTGGAAGAGGTTACCCAGATGTCAGCATGCTCGTGTGTGTCGGGGGTGGTTCTTATGCAGCAGGGATCCTGCTCACCAGCATTATGGCTTCAACAAGCATCTTGCGGATGTCTGCATCAGGCTCTCGCTGCTTGTCTGGCGGCAGGTACTGCAAATCGACAGGCAGCCCTAGGGGTGAATATGGGAGCCACTGGGTCCCTTAGCTGGGGAGTGGGCCAGGCTCTGCCTGTGTAAGCCCCATCTGTGCTCAGCAACTCACTGCTGCAAGGTTTCAGAAGGGACCTGTGACCTGGACACTTCTCTCTACCTCCACCTGCCTCCCTCCTCTCTCGCCAACTCTGAGGCTCCACAGTAACCACTCACGTTCCATCTCCTCCTCGGAGAAATCCTCAGGCCCAGCCAAGGGCAGGAGCAAAAAGGGGAGAATGTCCACCTCAGGTCCAAGCAACCACTCGTGATGTCCTGAGGGCCGGCAGGGGTGGTGAGATGAGGAGCCCCGGTGTCCAGTCCCCCCCCCCCCCCCCCCGCCCCGCAATGCCCCGCCGCCACACCCACCACTCACTGTGCTCGAAGCAGCAATTCCGAAGCGTCCCCACCACCCCGCCCCTGCGCACAGAGGAGTCAGGGTACTGGGTAAGGGGCAGCAGCCGCTGGACCACGCACCTGTCGGGATGGGACGGGTCAGTCAGGGCCGTCCCCGCTAACTTCTGTCCCTTCCCCGCCCGCACGGGCGCCCGGGGCTTCACCTGTCGGGGTCCAGGAGGAAGGCCCGCGCCGCAGGGCGTTGACTGAGGTTGGAGAGCAGCGGCGCCAGGTAGTGCAGGGACGCGTGGGCGTTATAGCCGGGCGTGCACAGCGCGCGCACCAGCCGCTCCAGGACGGAGTCTCCTGGCTCCGCCAGCAGCGCCATCAGCGCGGCACACGGCGCCGGCTCGCGGCTGAGGTTGGCCAGCGCGGCGGCCGCCTCCTCCGCCCAGGGCCACTGCGGGTCCAACGCGCGGCCCAGCAGGCGCGCGGGCAGCCCGGGGTCAGCCGCCAGCAACGGCTCGTGCAGGCCGGGGTCGGCGGCCAAGTTCACGAGCGCGCGGGCGGCGTCGCGGGCCGGGGCGGAGGCCGGCGCCAGGTCCGCCAGCGCCCGCAGCAGCGCCGCCTGCCCCGCCAGCAGCACGCGGCCGGGCCTGGAGCCGGTGAGCGCCAGCACGTGCCGCACCGCTGCCGCCTGCAGGTCGGCCCGCGCGCCCGGCGCCAGGAAGGGCAGCAGCTTCACCACCTCAGCCTCCGGGTCAGCCTCCGTCCCCGCCGACGCCCCCGCGCCGGCCGCGGCCTCCCCCATGCTGAGCGGACCTCGGCCGCCACCCGCCAGGACCTCCCGCTCCACCCCGGGGTCCGCGTAGGACGCGCAGGCCCGCCCACCAGAGGAGCGAAAGCCGCGGCGGCCAATCGGAGGCTGCGCCCTCGGCTCAAGTGGGCGGGGCCGGCGTGTGGCGGCGGGACCAGGGTGCGCGCGGGGGGTTGTGGGTCTCGACGTCTGGCCGGAAGCTGCGGAGGTCGACTGGGTCCTGGGCGCCGCGTGCCGCGTCCACACCCGCTGGAAACCTCCGCGTGTTCTCGGCTATGGCGGCCGGTGCGTCCCACTGGGCGCTGGCCACGCCGAACCTGGTCAGCCCGGGCCTGTCGTGGGCCCTGAAGGTCTGAGGTCCGCGCCCCGCTGTCCTGTCGGCGAAGGGCTCTCGGGAGGAAGGCCTGCTCTTACCCAGGCTGGCACAGCCAACGAGAAGCTTGGGCCTCCTGGAGACGGGACAGCACGGGGCCCCAGTGGGGACCCGAAGAGGCAGCTTTGGAGAGGCCTCTGGGCATCTCAGAGCGGGTAGCTTTGGGGTATTTGTCGGGACGTCTTCAGTCGCAAGTCACAAACGCAACTCAAACTGTCTTGCACGAAGAGAAAATTTGTAAATGGAGGGTTGGAGGGAACCAGCTTCAGGTACTGCTGTATCCAGGAGCTCTCCGGAGGCTTGTGCTGCCTACCCTACCCTCTCCCTCTCTGCCACCCTGCTGCTCTGTGGCTCCATGTCATTTCCACCTGCCACTGGCTGATTTTCTCAGAGCAGCTGGGAAAGAAAGGCACTGGGACCTCCCGGTTCCATGGTCCTGGCAGAAGACAATTTCTTTCTACCACTATTGGAGTCTGTCCCAGGAAAGAACTCCAGTTCTTCACGTGTCCTCCACTATAGGAGGAGCAGCAACGTAGAGACACACAGACTGGGGAGGAAGGGAGGCAAAAGAAAGATTTCCTCCAGCATTCTTTGGGCACCTGGCATCTTCCAAGCTGGTAGCTCAGGACACAGAACCAAACAACGCTGGTGGCCTTTCTGGCCTCAGGGTCTTTGCACTTGCCGTCTCTTCTGCCTGGAATGCTCTTTCCTCAGCTGTACACAAGGCTAGCAACTTCTTGTCAGAACCATCTTCCCTGGGCAGGTTACATAGAGACCCAGCCCACCCACCATCCATGGCTGCTTGGTTTCTATCCACCTCCTTCAAGATACCAGTACTTAGGCCAGGTGCGGTGGCTCATTCCTGTAATCCCAGCACTTGGGGAGACCGAGGTGGGCAGATCATCTGAGGTCAGGAGTTCGATACCAGCTTGGCCAACATGGCGAAACCCTGCTCTACTAAAAAATATATAAAAAGTAGTCGGGTGTGGTGGCACATGCCTGTAGTCCTGGCTACCTGAGATGCTGAAGCAGGATAATTGCTTGGACCGAGGAGGAGGAGGTTGCAATGAGCTGAGATTGCGCCACTGCACTCCAGCCTGGGCAACAGAGGGAGACTCCATCTCAAAAATTAAATAACAGTAAATTAGGCCCAGGGCAGTAGCTCATGCCTGCAATCTCACCACTTTGGGAGGCGGAGGCAGGTGGATCACTTGAGACCAGGAGTTCAAGACCAGCCTGGCCAACATAGTGAAACCTGGTTTCTATTAAAAATACAAAAATTAGACGGGCATAGTGGCGTGTGCCTGTACTCCCAGCTGCTTGGGAGGCTGAGGCAGAAGAATCTAACCTGGTAGAGGAAGGTCGTAGTGAGTGGAGATTTTGCCACTGTTCTCTAGCCTAGATGACAGAGTGAGACAGAGTCTCAAAAATAAATAAATAAATAAATAAATAAATAGTACTTGAAGGTAATAAAATTTAAGCTTCATGGTACCTTGCTTGCACAGGTTCTTAACAAAGCTGCCCTGAGAGCAAACCTTGCATAGTGTTCATATATAGTCTTAATGGTTTTTGCAAAGTAGGGTGTAGCAGATATTATAGGTGCAAAACCCACTAGAATGGCTGTGATAAAAGACATTAAATAGCTGTTGATGAGGATGTGGAGAAATTGGAACTGTCACACACTGCTGGTGAGACTAAAATGAAGCAGCCACTGTGGAAAACATTTTGTCAGCTCAAAAAGTCAAACAGTTATCTCATAGTCCAGCAATTCCATTCCTAGGCATATCGTCAAGAGAAATGAAAACTGAAAACCACACAGAAACATGAATGTGTACAAGTAGCACTATTCATAGTGGTCAAAAGGTGGAAACAACCCAAACGTCTATCAACTGATGAATGGATAAATAAACGGACAAATCCATGCAAAGGAGTATTATTCAACTGTAAAAAGGAGCAGAGTACTGACATGCTACAATGTATATAAACTCCAAAAACTTAGGCTAAGTGAAAGAAAGAAATCACAAGAAATCACGTATGATGCCATTTATAAGACGTGTGGAGTAGACAGTCCATGGAGACACAGTAAATGAGTAGTTGTCAAGAGAAGGACAGGGTAGGAGAGCAGCAGTTACTGTTAGTGGGTGCTATGGACTGAACAGTGTCGCTCCAAAAAATTTATATGCTCAAGTCCTAACCCCAGTGTGACTGTGTTTAGAGATGGGGCCTCTAAGGAAGTGGAGGAGCACTCACCAAAAACCAGATCAGTCAGTACCTTGATCTTGGACTTCTTCTCGGTCTCCAAAAATGTGAGAAAAATTTCTGTTGAAGTTTAAGCCACCCAGTCTATGGCATTTTGTGGCAACCTGAGCTGACTGAGACAATGGATTCAGGCTTTCTTTTTTGGATGTTGAAAATGTTCTAAAGTTAAACTATGCTGGTTGTTGCACAACTGTGAATGTACTAAAAACATTTAAATTGCACACTTTAAATGGGTTGATTGTATTTAAACTATATCTCAGAGCTGTTAAAAAGAGGGCACCCATCTGGGACACACTGATACCAAAAAGTATTTGTTATTTGTCTGAAATTCAAATGTAACTCCATCCTGTACAGTAAAATTTGAATTTCAGACAAGCAGTAAATACTGTATCCTCTATTCAAATTTAACTGGGTATCCTGTATTTTATCTGGCAACCCTATTTGCAGCCTGTTGGCTTTCTAGCACTTACCCATGAGCCCACAGACAACTCTCTGTTTAGGAAAGAGAACTGCTGCAGAAAATTACCTTCCTGAATACTGAGGAAACCCATGATGCCACCCAAATTGATCAACTGATGTCACTAATTAATGTGAACAAAAAAAAAACAAGAATCACTAGATATTAAGTAAACCAAAGGCATATACTTATTTCCAGAGGTAATACAATATGTGAAGCAGAAGGGAACTTTTATTTTTATTTATTTTTGAGATGGACTCTCACTTCTTTACCCAGGCTGGACTGTAGTGGTGCAATCTTGGCTCACTGCAACCTCCACCTCTCAGGCTCAAGTGATCCTCCCACCTCAGCCTCTTGAGTAGTAGAGACCACAGACGTGTACCACCATACCTGGCTAATTTTTTGTATTTTTTTTGCAGAGATGGGGTTTCACTGTGTAACCCAGAGTGGTCTTGAACTCTTGAGCTCAAGCAATCTGCCTGTCTTGGCCTCCCAAAGTGCTGGGATTACAAGTATGTGCCACTGTGCCTGGCCAGAACTTTTAAAGAATTCTAGTTACTATGCTCTGAAAATTCAGGAAGATACTGTACCCATAAAACAAGAACAGACTTCATGATAAAGGAGCAATCAGAGAACAAAGATATGTTGAACACTGAAATCATGATTGCTGCATTTAAAATCAATGGGAAAGCTGGGCCCAGTAGCTCACGCCTATAATCACAGCAGTTTGGGAGGTCAATGCAGGCAGATCATGAGGTCGGGAGTTCGAGACCAGCCTGGCCAACATGCTGAAACTCCATCTCTACTAAAAACACAGGAAATTAGCCTGGTACAGGGCCATGTGCCTGTAATTTCAGCTACTCAGGAGGCTGGGGCAGGAGAATCATTTGAACCTGGGAGGCAGGGAGGTTGCAGTGAGCCAAGATTGTACCACTGTACTCCAACCTGGGGGACAGAGTGAAACTCTGTCTCAAATAATATAACACAACACAACACAACAAAACCAATGGGACAATGAACATGGCTGAAGATTGAATTAGTGTTTGGCAAGTTAAAGTCCAGAGTATATCCAAAATGAAAGAAAAATAGGGCTGGGTGCAGTGGCTCACACCTATAATCCCAGCACTTTGGGAGACCAAGGTAGGCAGATCACTTGAGGTCAGGAGTTTGAGACCAGCCTGGACAACATGGTGAAACCCTGTCACTACTAAAAATATAAAAGTTAGCTGGACATGGTGGTGCACACCTGTAAACCCAGCTATTTGGGAGGCTGAGGCAGGAGAGTAGCTTGAACCTGGGAGGTGGAGGTTGCAGTGAGCCAAGATCGTGCCACTGCACTCCAGCCTGTGACAGTGAGACTCCGTCTCTAAATAAATAAATAAATAAAATAGGACAAAGAAGAAAAACATGAGAGGAAAGTTAGAAGTTCCAGGAAATCTAATATGCCTCTAATAAGCAAGAAAAAATTCAAATGTATGGAAAAAAAGAATTAGGAGAGACTTTTCTCCTCTAACCATATAGTAGACCAAATAGCCTAAAAAAACCTTCTTATTGCAATCTAGAAATACGAGGATGGATACAAGAAACATCCTTTAAAATATACACTGAGCTTGTAAGAAAGTCAGGGGAAACTTCAAGAGCTCAACATGAATGGGAAGTGTAGTGAATTGCAATTTCATTTTGCTTTGGCATCTATTTTGAATATAAGTTGGATTTTCTTAAACCAGAATCAAGGCTCAGTCACCCTTGTCACCGTTCCCGGTTCTCTTTCTCCTCCAGTTCTTCAATGGGATTGACCCAGATACCTGCCTTACTCAACCACCTCCTGGTTAAATAAGGGACATCTACATACAACCTAGGTGACTTGCCCCACAGACCCCCACACCCTGCATAGACTGCATGATAAGCTGCTGCAGTGACCACCTCAGTCACAACACACATCCATAGAACTTATCCCTGCTTGCTCTAAGCAGGCTGA